GGTGTGGTGGGGCAGGTACAGTAGGGGTGGAGGGAGGCACATAGGCATTGACAATATTGAGGGACATACCTCTTAGTGTGATTGTGATGGCGTGTGCGTCGACATGTCGGTGGGGTACAGGTAGCCGGGGGTGGTGTCCTCAGGTCCAGGTAGCCCTGGTGGAGACAGCTCAGACACAGGAGTGGGCGCGGCTTGCGGTGGGTGGAGGACAAGTTGAGGCACCAAGTGTCGTGAGGATGGGGCAGGACTTCGCTCAGGGGCAGCAGGACACACCAGGGCAGGCCAGGTAGGCGCTACACCAGTAGTGAAGGCCGCCGGCGGTGGAGTAGGCCGTGAGCAGGGGGAGCTCACAGGGGGACCAACAGCTTGTGTCAAACCAGAAGAGAGGAGTGACTGGGTGGCAACAGAGGGCAGGAGTAGGTGGGAGATGGTGGTACAGAGTGTAGCGAAGAGTTTTTCAATACGGTTGGTAAATTCTTGGAAGAGGGATATGATCTGTGTCATGTCACTGGCGGGGGGTTGTGGGGGGGCACCGGTGGGAGCGCAAGGCCTGACAGCCTCAGAGTAGAGACGAGGAGGAGGCCCAGTAGTAGTTGAGTTAGGAGACGGCCGGGACTGCTGTGTTGTAGCCAGATGAGGCCAGGCAGAGGCAGGTGTTGTTGAAGAAGGCATTGCTGGAGACACAGGGTACACAGGGGGGTGTGGCCCGGAAGACTGGGGGGGGCGTTGTGGTAGACTTGGCCTTCGGGGAGGCTTTTCCCCTGGGACAGACGGGCGATTGGGGCATTGCCGTGAGTCAGCATTGTGCCGGCCGCCACAGTTACAACATCTGGGATTAATTACATAGCCCACCCCACCACTATTAAGGTGGTCTTTGATTTTCTGGGCACAGGCGGCGGAGTTGTGGTTACGTGAACAGAAGCGACATCTAGGACGATCACGTCGACAGCAGACAGTGAAGTTATGACCCCAATAAGAACAGAAAATACAAAATGCAGGCTCAGGATGATAGGCTTCTGCATACATTGGGGGTAAGAGTGGGTGGGCATCCACAGTGGTTGGGCACTCCCTTCCCTTCCACTTGACAATGACAGTGGGTTGTGGAACTCTTCCCCGGTAATGGCGACGTATACTCAGTATACTACAGGGTAGAGTTAAAGTCACGCGCATCTTCGATGTCAGCGTATAAAGGGAAACGTTTCACTAGGATGTGGCAACATTCATCCGCGTCTATTGCGGGGGGTGGGGGGAGGGGGGGGCACCAGGACGACCCCGTCAAAGCCAACAGTACTAAGTGTTTCATAGACCTCAGAAGTCTGACACTTGATAAAGTTCCGGTTCTTACCTTGTCGGAATTCAATGCTGAAACCGTGCTGTCTGCAGTACTTCATCATCCAATTAAAGCGTTCCTCTACAGTTTTCAGAGAGTCCTTGGAGAAGTGGAGATTCAGCTTATTTGTTTGTTTGGCAGAGGGCAGGGTGATGGGGTCCATGGCATTGGAGTTTCCACTGTGCCTAGTGTTTCCCATAGAAACATTACCGTCACTCTCATAATCACTAGGGTCTGACTCTTGAAGGGTGTTGGATTCAGTATGACCAGGCGAGTTGGTAACGGCATCAGTATCAGAGATGTCTGCGTCTGCGTCTATGAGAGAGCCTCTTCTGGGACGTTTATGTCGACCCCCCAGGCTGGCAAAACTTGCCAGCTGAGGGGACCATTGTGGGACGATACGAGAAGTCAAGAGCATCTACTGTATATGGGCACGTCTGTCCCCTTGGGTGGTCACGCTACAAAAGTAGAGAAAGAATAAAGTGAAGAAGGTTACAGTGTTCTACCGTGGTATATTTAATCAAAACTTTACTTTGTTTATATCAATACAATGACGAGTCTTTAAAAATAATGTTTATATAATTTACAAAAGTTTATCATTAAAATGAAAAACCAAATACAAGTATTTCGATAAAATATTTAAGTTTTCCGACTCACCAGAACAGACCTTAGTATAAGAAATATTGAATAATATTTTCTTGTTCAAGAAGTTCGCGTGTTTTGGTAATGGCCTGAGCAGCTATTGAACAGAAGCTCCTTGTCGTGCTGCATTCCACTCTTTTGTATCTTTTTTTGCCAATCACACATGTATGAAACACAACTCTCAAATTCTGAATTTTACAAAAATAGAAGTTATTAAGTTGACATTTTGTCTCTACATGCGTTATGGAACAGCGCCGAAAGAGTCGAATTTCTGTATCTATGATCGTCTTATCAGATAATACTACACGCTAGCGTTGGGTGTCAGGGTGGGGTCTAGGTCCTGGGGGGGTCACAGTATGGTCTAAATCCTGGATATCAGGGTGTGGTCTAGATCCTTGCGTGTCAGGGTTTGGCCGAGATCCTAGGTCTCTGAGTGTGGTCTATGTGCTGGGTGTCGGGGAGTGTTCTAGGACCTGTATTTAGTTTTCAGTGATGTCTTGGCTAAAGAACTAGCCTCACCTACGTCGGTGATGATGAATCGTATTAATACCTCCATTGCTACATTACGACATACATTCAACTCATCACCACACTGAGCCTAGAATGTTTCCAGTGGCATTTATTGAAACGTCCTCTAAGGGTGCCATTAGATGATAAGTCAATGAGCTCTTCCAAGAGTTTGGATGGTGAGGTGAATAGAAGCTCTGTCTTAAGGTTCTCAGTAAAGGAGTTTGTAAACCATTGGTAAGAAGTTGCTTGCTCTTTTTTTACTTCAGGAAAATAACTGTTGAATTTGTCCAACATTCCTGACAAGCGTACTGTTGCCTGACGTTTGATGACACTGAAATTCATGTTTCTCTCTTGAATGAATAGATGCATCTGTTCGAAGGTATGAGTGGTTCCTGACGATGCACGAGTTTTCAACAATTTTAGTTTTATTTTGAATGACAACTCGTTCCTGCTGGGTCATGCTATTTGTGTTTCCACCCTTCATCTTTTTGTAGAGCTTGTTCATTACATAGAATATATCTGGAAGATAGCTGAGTTTAGCAAGGTATTTCTCATCACCCAAAAACTCCGCTAGATCAAGCTCCTACTCCGAGAGGACAGTACGCAGATTTGCCTTCAGACCGAATAATCGTGTGAGTATGTACCCGCAGGACACCATCTCAGCACCTACTCCCTTATAGAGTGCTGTGAACAATCTGGAATTTGTGGTCTTTGCATTCACAAAGTTCACCAGTAGCGGATTATAGAGTGAGAAAAAGGAGCCCAACAATACAACAGCGGGCCTATTGGCCCATACTGGGCAATCCCACTTACACCCAACCCCTATTGCTCATATGTCCATCCAACCTATGTTTAAAACCATTGTTAAAAGTTCACTCCTAGTTGTATTGTTCCAATACCTTTGTTTAGCCCTAACATCCATTTATACACCTCGATCATATTGCCCCTCACTGTACGTCTCTCGAGGGAGTGCAAATTAATATGCTTTTAACCTATCTCTGTTATCAAGGTTCCTAATGCCCGGGATTAGTGAGGGATTGGATCTCAGATTTGTGACCCCTAAAGATGCAGTTGTGTAATATGACATCCGCAAATTTATGTTGTTATTCTGAATTCTAGTCTAGTTTCGTTTACATTCTTGAATTATATATATTTGGGAATTGTCCAAGTTGCATGTATCACTCGTATTTTCAGAAGAAAGCGCAGGTTCTTCTCATATTATTAAGAGCCAAATATCTGTGGGTTCTTTTTTTTTTGAGCAGGTAAATACATTACAGGTAAATTGATCATTACTATTATTTTTGTTTGATATAAATTGTTCTCAGATGAAAATGACGGCGAGGTGGGTGAGGTTGTGTGTGGTAGCGGTGTCACTGTTGATGTACGCCTCCTCAGTGACCGTGGTGCCGTCCATCACCTCTTATAAGGTAACTTACTCGTCTTTTTCTCTTAATGTAATATGCATTACAGCCTTATTTCGAACTCCATTAACCAACCTCTAGTTATATGATGCGTCAACAAGGGGTCAGTATGCATACAAAACGTAGGTTGGGAAAATTTCTTCTTGAAGCATCTCTCAATCTGTGAATTACTTGTGACTGCCATTTAGGGAGTTAACAGATGTAGTACAGTACAGGGTAATTTACATGTAGAAGAAACATTAAGATCTGGACTCCTACTGCAAGTTTTACAATTCCTCCCTGGTTCTCCCCACAGGTTGTTCCGTGGTTTCCTAACGAGCTCACAAAGACCTGTCTCCTCGAAAATGTGATAATGGGGGCGGCCAGCACCTACCTCTGTGCCATGGAATGCCTCCACCACCCAGAGTGCCTCCTTTACTGCCTCAGAGGTCAGTGCTGCCTCATATACTCACTGTTTAATCTCCTCCAAATTATGATACTATAGGTAACGTTTGTTTGATTTATATTGTTACTTGGATTTTCTTATATTTAAAAATAAGAGATAATTACATTACAATAAGATTTCACGTCGCTCAACTATGGTGAAACAAAATGCGACATCAAATATTATTTTTGCGCTAATTATATTTGCAGTATAGAAACAAGACAAAGTAAATATAAAACAAGAATAGAAGGAAGCAAACGAAATAAAAGATATTGACCCTAGTTGTAACCACCTTAGTTAAGGACGGTCGGGTGACGGGCAAGCAGCTGAAGGGAATGATTAAAACCCGTCTTTTGACGCACTGACTATTTACATATATGTCGTAAAAAAAAACTGCAGAGAATAAGGCGTTCATTAGTATTACATGGTTATCCATCTGATACATTATTTGTCAGTCTCACACAATTTTATTTTAACTGCATAAGATCATTAAACATAGTAACATAATGCAAAGTACATAGCTATGAATCTTAGCTGTTTTTCATTCCACATTGTCTTATTGCTCCAGATAAGGCAGAAAAGCAGTAGACATAATTATTCCACAATATTTCAGTAATGAGGGATACGTCATCACGTAGGCTGGACTTACAAGTGCGGATCGATGTAAATGAGCATGGTGTTCCAAGAGACAACAGTATTGCATAAATTGTCTTCGCACAAAACTCTGGGTAATGACTGTGAATTGGTATGTTCACTACTGCCAGCAGAGGGTGGAAATATTCACAGCAACTCTGTAAGGCTTGGTCTGAGAGTTAGGGAAAGCCAGTCAGTCACCGTCACCTGCAGAACTGTCTACTCAACAGAAACAGGACCGTTCTGCTGTAAACACCCCTTCAGCTCACTCTACTCCCCTCTCCTACATCTACAATACTCTCATAACTAAACTATTTCTAAAAATTTATTAACACTGTCCCCACGATTCCCTACAAGGGGTAACACTCCGAAATGCTTGTTCTATGGCTGCGACATTTACAAATATCTGGCTATATATATATATATATATATATATATATATATATATATATATATATATATATATATATATATATATATAACAAAGAAGTTGTCCTGTCTGTCTGTTTGTTTATTTGTTTGTGTCCGCACGAGAATCTCGGAAACTACTTTACCGATCTGTAGTGATGATGGATGGTGTTATATGTAGTGATGATGGATGGTGTTATATGTAGTGATGATGGATGGTGTTATATGTAGTGATGATGGATGGTGTTATATGTAGTGATGATGGATATGTTATATGTAGTGATGATGGATGATGTTATAGTAGTGATGATGGGTGGTGTTATATGTAGTGATGATTAGACAATAAAATAATAACAGTTTATTGCTAAGAAAATATACTTTTGTACCGTTGTAGTGAAAAACATGGTGGAACTTACATACACCGTTAATGAACTATTGATGGAAGAAGAAGTTTTGGGGAACTGAACAGTGTGGGGTGGCGTCCTACCGTTGCCTAGCGGTGTGTATATATATATATATATATATATATATATATATATATATATATATATATATATATATATATATATATATATATATAACCTGTCGGAATTTTACCTAGGTTTTTTTTAGTTATAGTGGATGGTAATGCAGTGGAAGCTCCCCTCAGAGAATACCGAACCAGCACAAATACAATTAATTAAAGTATTTTCTGCGACCGTGGAATAGCTAGTACCTTTGATTGGGGTTAATGAGACGCACTGGTAAAAGATAACCCTTCTATTCATTGCAACACTACAGACGGAATTAATAATTTTACACAAGCACTAGAGTACTTCTTAACGCAGCTTTCTACACTACAATGGGAAACAAAAGTTGTACATTGTATCAAAAAAATTATTCAAAAATATTAATTGCATCCGAAAAGATCTAATAATGCAGCAGTCCTACATACTCCAGAACAGAAACCAGAACGAGGAATTAATTTGAAACAATTCCTTCATACATCCAACATCACTTAGTGGCACATAAAACATTAAAAAAATATTACTTACACAGATGAAAATGCCTCAAGTGCATCAGACAAAATTATAGCAATCCCTGAGGAATAGAAATCCTGATTTAGTATACTACAATCCTAACTTTTCTAACTAGACAGAACCCGAATCTAATATACTATAGGACTAGGTGTGTGTGTGTGTGTGTTCTGGGCAGCCGAAACGGCACAATCGTTTTTCATCAAACTTGGTGGAAAAATCGCAAAAAATTCGTAGAGTGGAACAAACCTGGTCCCATATCGATGGTTTCTTTAGGAAGCCATTACATAACCATTTTATTTACGCTGGAAAACGATGCAAGTCTACGGACTTGGCGCACCCTCATTCGCTGTACGCTGTCAGCCCACGATTGCAGTTATCGTACGGCTCCCTCCTCCTCCCCCCACTTTTTTTCTTAGCCTACTTTTTTTAATGTTGTTTGGATTAGTAAAGGAAGGAAGATGAGTAAATAGAAGAATAAAGAAGGGGAAACAGAAAATAGTTAGAGATAACAGGTGGGGGGGAGCTGAGTTTCATCATGCGTCTGGATGCGCAGTTTCAACGTTACCAGACGACCTTACAGCTACAGTGTGTACTTATTCCTGTGGCTCATGGAAAAGGAGAAGAGATAAAAAGATAATAACAGTAATGCATAGAGAAGATGACTACAATAGACACAGGGTGAATACAGACAGTGAAACATACAGGAGGTTGACAAAAATAGACAGATTCATTCATGCACAAATAGACAATATGGCAACTAACATGACAGACAGACAGCTGACTGACTGGTTCACATTAGACAAACAGACAGACACACGCCAACAACGGATAAGACAGACAGATTTGACGACACAAAGAGTACAGACGGGCTTACATTTAAACACCACGCAGACGAAGAGACAGTTGGCATGGCAAGAGACAGGACGGATAGACTTGAGACAGGTTAGAAGGCATTTATAAACACGAATAACACCAAATTGACCATAGCTACGTCAGTCAGGGTAGGAGGTCTTACATCCATCAGCGTCAATAAGAACAACACCAAATTGACCATAGCTGCGTCAGTGAGGATAGCTGGTCTTACATCCACACCAACATAAATAATAAGAAGCATTGAAAACTAACACCCTCGCGCGGAAAGAACATCGATGGTCGGTCAGTCATGTGAGATGATGACTATGATGACTTAACACAGGTGATGACTTAAGCAGATGGTGACTAATTAAACCAGAATCAAGGTCACTTCTCTTCATAATATAATTTATCTCGGAATGATCATCGGTGATTCATAATAATTTTTTGTTTTATGATTTTAACCTCTCCTTATGGCGAATATTTCTTTAATTAATTATTCTAACCTTTATTCTATTCCTTCTTATAGTATATTAGTTACTGTAAGTAACACGACCACGACCATTATTATAACAACCACGACCATGATTATAACAACCACGACCATGATTATAACAACCACGACCATGATTATAAAAACTACGACCATGATCATAACCACGACCATGATTATAACAACCAAGACTATGATTGTAACAACTACGACCATGATTATAACAACCAGGACCAAAATTATAACAAGCACGATTATGATTATAGCAACCACGACTATGATTATAACAACCACGACTATGATTATAACAACCACGACCTGGATTATAACAACCACGACCATGATTATAACAACCACGCCCATGATTATAATAACCACGACTATGATTATAACAACCACGACAATGAGTATAACAACCACGACTATGATTATAACAACCACGACTATGATTATAACACCCACGACCATGATTAGAACAACTACGACCACGATCATAACCACGACCATGATTATAACAACCACGACTATAATTATAACAACCACGACCATGATTATAGTAACCACGACAATGATTATAACAACCACGACTAAGATTATAGCAACCACGACTATGATTATAACAACCACGACCGAAACAACCACGACCATGATCATAACCACGACCATATTTATAACAACTACGCCCATGATCATAACCACGACCATGATTATAAGAACGACGACTATGATTGTAACAACCACGACCATGATTATAAGAACTACGACCATGATCATAACCACGACCATGATTATAACAACCTCGACTATGATTATAACAACGCCAATTTGATTATAACAACCACGATTATGATTATAGCAACCACGACCAACGACCATTATAACAACCGGACCATGATTATAACAACCACGACCATGATTATAACAATCACGACATGATTATAACAACCACGACCATGATTATAACAACCACGACCATGATTATAACAACCAAGACTATGATTATAACAACCACGACCATGATTATAACAACCACGATCATGATTATAACAACCACGCCCATGATTATAATAACCACGACTATGATCATAACAACCACAACCATGATTATAACAACCACGATCATGATCATAACAACCACGCCCATGATTATAATAACCACGACTATGATTATAACAACCACGACAATGAGCATAACAACCACGACTATGATTATAACAACCACGACTATGATTATAACACCCACGACCATGATTATAACAACTACGACCATGATCATAACCAGGACCATGATTATAACAACCACGACTAAGAACATAAGAACATAAGAAAGTGGGATACTGCAGGAGGCCGACTGGCCCATACAGGGCAGATCCCTTTCACACCCATCCCAGCACTTCCATGTGCCTATCCAACTTCGTCTTGAAGCTCCCTAGCGTCCCCGATCCTACTATAGCACTCGGTAGCCTATTCCACATATCCACAACTCTATTACCAAACCAGTGCTTGCCTATATCCTTTCTGAATCGGAATTTATCTAATTTAAAGCCATTTGTTCTAGTTATTTCGTTATTACTGAGCTTCAGAACATCTTCCATTTTACCCTTGTTAATCCCACTTACCCACTTGTACACCTCTATCATATCTCCCCTAACTCTACGCCTCTCTAATGAATGTAAGCCTAAGCTTTTCAGTCTTTCTTCATATGGAAGGTTTCTAATATTATGGATCATTTTGTCATTCTTCTTTGTACTCTCTCCAAAGAATCTATGTCCATTCTATAATCAGGACACCAGAACTGAACCGCATAATCCATGTGTGGCCTCACTAATGCTAGGTAAAGTTTCAAGATAACGTCAGCAGTTCTGTTACTCAGACACTGAATATGAACCCAAGAATCCTGTTTGCCTTGTTGCGAACGCTAATACGTGTTTTCTAGGTTTCAAGTCATTGCTAACAAATACACCTAGATCTTTTTTTTACAAACTGAGTTTTCTATTTCCGTGTTACCTAGTTTATACTTAACGTTTGTATTCGTCTTCCCTATCTGTAGTACCTTGCATTTATCGGTATTAAAATTCATTTGCCAGTCTACTGACCACTCATGTAAGGTATCTAGATCTCTTTGAAGGTGTTCAAAGTCACTGTCTGAATTTATCACTCTCCCCATTTTGGTATCATCTGCAAATTTACTAATCCTACTAGTTATGCCTAAATCAAGATCATTAATGAATATAACAAACAGCAGAGGGCCTAATACAGATCCCTGGGGAACTCGCTTTTGACCGCACCCCAGTCTGACTTTAATCCATTTATGCTGACTCTTTGTTTCCTACCAGTTAA